GTGTATATTAATTTATCGAGTATTAATTTATAGAGGTTCTATTATATGTGAAGTATTGATGATCACATGTGTACGTGGGTAAAAATTAGCTTCTTTTAATTCTTTTGTTTGATCAATTAAAAATTTACTCACCGACCGTAGTTTAACTAAATTTTGAACTATACAACAAAAGTGAAAATCACAAAATAAGTGTTTCGATTTAAATTGATGAGAAAGAAAAAAATTTGGTGAAATCGTGTCTGAGTTATTGACCAAAATCGAGAGATAATTTAATCAACTCCAAAATGTATTAATTCATCTCTCTCTATATATATTGATTAATGACTCCACACAGTTTCACCAATTGTTGTGTCTCTCACCAATTTGAAATGGAACTAATTTATTAGAATTTCCTTTTTATTTTGACCGAGAAACTATGTCTCTGATATTTTAAAAAGAATTTGGTCGATTTTAAAATTTGTAACCAAATTTCATTTTGGTTTATTGAGATGGGTCGAATTAAAAAATAGTTATACTATAACTGAGTAGGTTAGATTTTAATTGATCAAAGGGATAATGGAGTTAGCTTTTCCAATATCCAAGTCACTTTTTGAATTAATGAAATTAAACTCATGATATTAACTATATAAAGTCATGAAGTTGAAAGATGGTATCATACATTACTTTGTCTAGTTACGTATATACTCCCTCTGTTTTTAATTTAATTTATATGTCGTTATAGAGAAAATAACTTATTTTAAAATATGTATCGTTTTATAATTACAATATAAAATTTATTGTTTTTGTCTGTTATTCTATCTTTTATTAGTTGAAATATAGTTATATGTATAAATAATTATATTTTTGTCTAAAAAATATATAAAATTTAATATTTTTTAATTTGTGTGAAAAAACCTAAAACAACAAATAAAATGAAATATTGGAGAGAGTATTAGTTTAGTATGTTTCGTTAGATCATGGTGGTGGTCATTCACGTAATCAGCAATCATTATTCCAAATAAAAACTATCGTTAATTGTATTGTTTTTATCAATTCAAGAGTAACAGAAGTATTATTTTTTTAACTTATCAATAATGCATAGAGTAAAAGTTAAAGAATGATAGTCAACTTGATTGACAATATTTCAGTGAACTCAGTGTAAAATTGTTTTAATCCAATTATGGATCTCGTTATCCAGAATTTAGAGTATTCGAATCTGGATTCAGATTCATCGGATTCGTGATTTAATATTGGGATTCGGCTTTGTGTCTTTTTATTATTTTTATAAAATCGGATCCGTAAAAACAATTAAAAATAAATAAACATATTTTAAAAATAAAAAATTCTAAAAATAATACATAAATTATTTATTTATAGAAAATTGATAAATATATTTATGACATATAATACTATTAAAACTAAAATATTTTTATTTATTTATCATATTTTTAGTATTTATATATAATTTATTTATAGATAAACAAATTTATATGAATGTACCATATTTTTAGAAAATAAGATAATTCTTGTGAATTATGTTATTATCTTGAAATATATTTTATATATAAAACTTAAACTTTAAATTAAGATATGAAAATTATTTATTCATTATATAACTAAAACGATAATAAGATAATTCTTGTGAATTATGTTATTATCTTGAAATATATTTTATATATAAAACTTAAACTTTAAATTAAGATATGAAAATTATTTATTTATTATATAACTAAAACGAATTTATATTAATAATTTTATATTTTTCTAAAATAAAATAATTCTTATGTATTATGTTGTTATGTTGAAAATATATTTTCCTATTATAAAACTTGAAATTAAGATATAAAAATTATATTATTAATAATTAAATATAAATCATCAAAACAATTATTTGAAAAGTAAATTTGTTGATTTATCTCCATGATCCAAGGTAATTTTGATCATTTATCATAATTTCTCTAATTTGGTTTATTATTGATTATATAATTAAAAATAATTTATATTAATAATATGATATTTTATAAAATAATTTAGTTCTTATGTATTATGCTATTATCTTGAAAATATATTTTTATATTATAAAATTTAACATGTAAAAGATCTATACTATTATTTAAGAAATGAATTTGATGTTGTTGATTTGTCATATTTTCAATCATTTTAGGTAATTTTGATAATTTATCATAATTTCTATGATTTTATATATAATTTATTATATATTAAAAAAAAATTATATTAATAGTATCAGATTTTTAGAAAATAAGATACTTCTTATGTATTAAGTTGATGTCTTGAAAAAATATATTTTTCTATTAGAAATTTAAAATTAAGGTATAAGAAACTGTAGTTATTCCATAATTGAAATAAAATTACACTAATAATATTTTACTTTTATAAAATAAAGTAATTCTTATGTATTATGTTGTTATCTTGAAAATATATTTTATATTATATAATTTAAAATGAAAATATAAAATTATATATTATTAATTAGATATTATTCATCACTCAAGAAAAAATATTTAAGAAGTGAATTTGCTGATTCGTTAAGTTCTCCATGATTTTAGATAATTTTAATTATATATCATAATTTCTATAATATTATATAATTAAAAAAATCTATAATATTATATTTTTAGAAAATAAATAACTTATGCATTATATTGTTATCTTGAAAATATGTTTTTCTAAATTAAAATATAAAAAAATTAAATAAATAGAAATTAAGTAAATATAGTTGTATAAATATTATAATTAAATATAAATTAAGTAACAATATTTGTATAAATATTATAAATAAATATAAATCAAGAAAAATAATTATACAAATATATTATTTTAAATATTTCTGATGTTTGAGTTTTTGTCATTGATAGTTATTTGATGTTTGATTTGTACTTTTTGAAAACATAAATAATAACTTATTATGTTGGTTTTTAAATTAATGAAACATCAACTAATAAATATTCATAAGATAATTATGTCCGCAAGTGCGGGCAAAACACCTAGTATAATATTATAAGACTAGTTTTTATGTATAAATATTAATATATCAAATATAATTATTATTAAAACTAAAATACACATTTTATAAACACAAATCCAGATATCCGGACCTAAAATTTATGATATCCCGATCTGAATCCAGACATCCCAGATATCTTATTTTCGGAGCGAATCATTTATCGGATTCGGATCCAGGATAATAAGTCTCAGCGCTAACTTAGGCTTTACAGTCACACCAAAAATCTAACTGGCTTTGTTGTCTTTTCAATATTTGTGAGAAATTCATCTGGGAAAATTCTTCAATTCAATTTATCTTTAGTAATTATCAAACTTCTACAAACCTAGATAATGTGAAACAAACAAAATAAGAAATAAACCTAGCTGAAAGCATGAAAACAGAACAATTAGAAAGATTCATCAAAAAAAAAGAAAAGAAGTTTGCATTATCAAACATCAATCATCGTCATCTGTTGACTCAATTTCTTCACAAGTAAAGCTATGAAACAAACAATGAAAAGCATAGCCATCAGTATTAATTCATCATCATCAATCATCACCACTTCATCAGCATAATTGTTTATATCATAACACGCAGTTGCCGAATATTTAGAGCAACACAGACGTACATGTGAGCACAAGAACAGAGCAAAAGGAACAATAGAGAATGATGTCAAGAATTTACAAAAAGGTACTTTTTTGTTTACATTACAATAATCCGAAGATAACTCATCTGGTAATTTATCTTGTGTTTTCTTCGTTGTCTACACTTGAAACTCTCTTACCTGAAATATACACAGAAAATCCTTGCTACGATCTCAGTTAAGTTCTGTATAGAAACTGTCCCCTCTGGTCCTATGGCCAAGTGTCCGTGCAGCGTGATAAAGAAAAGAGAGTAAGGATCCTCACCGAATATCAGGACTTTAAAAGCAAATCGAATAGAACTTCTTACCGTTTTGATATAGCTAGAAAAGCTTATAGGGAACACGGAACAGGATGGATGGTATTAAGTGTTTAAGATTTTGAAAGACAAAGCCAAACATAAGAAACAGAACAAGATAAACTCCATTTCATCTGTCTTAAGAGCATCTGATACTCTTGCCTGCAAATAGCAGTACAATGATGAAAGAAGATAACAGAGAAAATAGCTGAAAAATCAGAACAAACTCAACGACTCTACTCGACTTGTCTGCAGCAGAGCAGAACAATTATTCAAACTAATTTAAACACCAACAACAACATGATTGTATCAACCAACCACCACCAGCATGGGCTCGTCAACCACGTCCACCGCCACCGACTCCAGCACTACCACCTCCAGCAGCGGTACCAGTCTTGAATTCACCAATATTACCATTGAAAGTGGATGCTTGTCCCAACACTTGAACAGACATCAATGACACAATCACACATACCACAAACCAACCCCATGTCAGAAACTTCCCCATACCCGTTACCTTTCTATCTTTATACAAACAAGCTCACTCAGACCAAAAGGAATTCTAAAACAACCAACACAGGCTCGATCAGTATAGTACCAGCTTTTTTTTTAATTACATACATTGGCGAGAACCCTTATTTATAGGCCAAAACTTCATCAACAAGATGAGCACATCCACGCACGCGTCCTCTAATTAATTAGTCTTAGGAATGTAGTTTAGCACTAACATATTAAATAGTTAAGGCTGATAATGATGATATTCGTTCAATCTTTTGCTCTATTCGTGTAACAGTTGTTTTACTACGTGCGTTTGGAATATCATACGTGTGCCTCCTTTCACGTCTCGCCAATACGCTCTTCCATAAACTACTATTAAGTATTATTTAATTAACTACAACGTGTGGCACACAATGTTTCACATTTTCAAATATCTCATACGAATATTTGGAAACGGATTTCATCATGTACATTCGGGAAGAACACAACGATACAATTTTTTTGAAAGAAATACAGCATATAATATAAGCCACAATAATTTGTCCTAACTGTCGTTGCAAGATTGAGACATATTTGGTCTTGCAAACAAAATCGTCTCAAAATCTTTAGATCTCTCAAAGTGGAGACAAAAAGGAACAGATCCATTTCCTAACTACAAGAAACGCAATATCATACGTTTATGTTGAATTAAGTTAAATGAAACACCAGAAGTACTGAAACAGAACAATTCGCTTCTATAAACGCAATGTAAAACAAAACGTTTACTAATTGATTAATCAGTAGACAGATTCATGCTTTTTTAGGGTGATAATCAACGGCAAATCTTGCTAAGCAAACCTTCCATTTCTTGGTCTATTTCGATCCCATCTTCCTCCAATCTCTCTCGCATACCGTGACAAGTTCTCTCTGCAGCTACATAAGTCTGTACAAGAAGAGTGTAAGTTTCAGAACCTAAAGGACTCCATTTCGTCAAAGTTTTGCACAACTCTTCTGCTCCGTCAACATCTTTAGACTTTTCAAAATGGAGAAAGAAGGAACTGATTAGCTCTGAGCTCCAAGTCCAGTTCTTGTCTTGATCCATAACAGCTGCTTCCAAATGCTTCAGAGCCAACTCCACCTTCTCATTCTTCAACAAATGAATCATCAAAAGCTGCCTCGCCTTCGAAAACTGACCTTTAGTACACTTCTTCACCGCACCGTTGAAAACAGCCTCAGCTTCTTCGTACATGTTCTCTTTCAAGTAGCTGCTTATCATCACATTAGCCACCCTCATATCGTAATTCCAGCAAGTTGATTCCCACTCTTTAAATACCTTCTTGATTCCCTCCATGTCTTTGAGTCTACTCAGTGCTTGCATCATTGCAAGACAACTCGAGTTGTTGACGTTAGGGTGACCCTTCTTTAACAACTCCCAAACTCGATAAACCTCGGAAGGATTAGAGATTCCAGCGTACAAACTAATGAGGAAATGATACGAATCACGCTTGTGTGGGTTCATCTTCTCTTCCAAAGACTTCAACGCTGCTTCTGCTTTACTATAGAGACCAGCTTTAGCATAGATCGATGCTAAATTAGCAAATGTATCCCACGAGGAATCATCTTTCATCTCCTCTACAACTTTCTCCACACCGTCCAAGTCGTTTAAACTTCCACAGCTTTGTATCCACATGGAGTAAGTGATCGCACAAGGGGATATACTCTTCTCCTTCATTTCAGCAACCAGTGCTGATACTTTTCGGGTTGACCTAGACGCAAGTACATAGCCATGAGGTTATTAAAGGGTAAAGAGTTAGTCACGAGATTGAGATTAACCATCTCGTCAAAATGTGACTTTGCTTTGTCTTCATCGCGTTCCACGCAGTAGCAGTTCAAGAGGGAGCCGTAGCTAGAACGGTTCTTGGACGAAGGGTCTAGAGTGTTGAAGTAGTTTTCAGCAGCCTCTAAGCCTTTGGTCTTTGCAATAAGATCTAAACGGATTGCGTGGTCGCTGCCAGTGAATGCAATTTCCTTTTTCTCCATCCACTCAAAGACCTGGACAAAACAGGATGGTGTTGTAAGTGCTTTAGATTTTGACAGATAAAACCAAACATAAAAAACAGAACAAGATAAACTCCATTTCAGCATCTGTCTCAAGAGCATTTGATACTCTTTGCCCGTAAGCCATAACCAAGAAACAGAGTACAGCAAGAAAGAAAAAGAAAAAACTCAAACGCCATACATAGAGGCTTGCGGTTTCGGTTAAACTGGTTCGTGCATTTCGGTTAGTCGAAACTCTAACCGAAAAATGGGTTCTCAATTATTGGTTATTTCGGTTTTCACAAATTTTGCTGAATTCAACTGGAATTTTTTTTTATTTCGGCAAGATTTCGGTTTAAACTAGTTACAACTCTGGATCGTTTTGATCAAATTTGGTTCACAAATTTTGCTGATTTTAACTGTTGATTTCAATTTAAATTGTTAAAACTCGGGTAAATTTTTGAGTATTTGCACTCCCTACCCATAACATTTACCCTATTTCCCCCCATTTTTATTCCCTCCATCATCAATATTTTCCCCTAAAATTAAGGTATTCCACTTCTTTTTGTATTTTGAGCAAATTTACTCTAAATTATTCTATCAAATTTGGTTATTTTGTTTGTTTGGTTACTTTGTTTCGTTTGTAATGGTTAGTTAGATTAGTTTGGCTCCAAAATAGGTTATTTTATAAAACCAAACTAATCAACTACCAAACCAAACCGAGTAAAGCAAAATAAATTTTTAAAAATCTTGCTGAACCGAAGTCATCACCGGAATTGAACCAAAAAACCGCCAAGTTTGGTTCAATTCGGGTAAATCCGAGGGCAAACCATACACATTAAACTTGACTTGAGAAACCCTAAAGCTTTGAAAAACAGTAAATCCACAACCAATCCATCTTTACCCAAATTAAAATGACCTCACCACTAGTTCAAATTCAAATCAGCAAACGTAGTTACTAACCTCGAGAGCGCGTTGAGGTAGACGATTCTTGCGGAGATCCTTGGCGTAGCGAACAAGGTCGTGTTTTACTATAGGGATACCTTCCATGTTTAATTTATTCAGCGTTTCTTCCATTTTCCCTCCCCTCGAGCCAATGTTTGAGAGTTTCTTGTAGACAGAGCGATGCTTCTTCGCCGTCTTCCGAGTAGAAATAGCATCAGCAGCCTCGCCGACAATGGCCGCCGGAGAGGCAGCGAGCGTTGCACAGAACCTCCTCGCGAGGCGTGAAACCGAATACATCGCTATCATCAGATTACTGATGTCGTCGGAATCTATAAAGTCGAAGAGAAGAAATGCTACGGCTGAGATTTTTTTCTATTTTTGCAAGGGTTTTAGAACTAGTTAAGTAGTATAGTAAAAAACAAATAACACATCGTGTCGTTTATTTACGTAAAAACGACACGTAGCTTATTGTTGTAGCTACGCTGGGATTTGGACTCGAACCGGCTGAACCGAAATTTTTTCGGATTTCCATTCATTATTCGGCTATAATTTGGTTCAGTTGTTCAATTCGGTTAACTAAAAAATGTGTGGTTATTGGTTGGTTCGGCCCAGTAGTCTTATTTTATTTTTCTTTAAAAAAAAAATCAAACTATACAAATCTAAATAAAATTTAGGACCAAAATAACTGAACTAGCCGAAATAAAATAATTTAACTGGAAAATCTAAAATTTTAAAAATGAAAACTTAAAAAAAAACATTTTGATAGAATTTTATCAACTAAACTGACCGATGTCAAACCAAATTGAATCTCATTCGGCTCAGGTCAACATAATAATGTACTAATCACACTAACCGAAAACCCAAATCGAGCCGACCGTTCTAACCGAACCGCATGCCTAGTTGTAACTACCGTCCTTTCTTAATAACTACCGTGTCTGTCTACTGAAGCAAACTTTTGAGGCCCAGAAATGACTATCCTTCTTCTCCATGTTCCTCCTCCGACAACGACCATCCTCTTCTCCTACTCATCTTCTCCACGCTCCACCACACGAACTCTCAATCTCACGCGACGACGTGTCCGTTGCCGCGTCTCTAATTCCTCAGAGGTTGTTCCGATTCTGAATATCTCTCTGTATACATACATACAAGTGTTTATTCAGAGTCCTTGTAAGATTCTCAGGTTAAATCAGAGTACAAACCAGGAGTTCTCGACGATTTCTTCATGCAATCCTTCCGAAACAAACTGGTCGAGGTGAGTTTTGTGCAAATTAAATGGCTGTTCATGACATTTGATTAGGCTAATGTTTTTTTTTTGACATACTTCTTGTTCATGTTTCAAGTAATGTGATAACAACAGGAAGTCGGGTCGGATTCAGACAAAACCGGTTACGTTGGTCTTATTGAGCTTGTGAAGCTTCTCTTGTTGAAAGGTCGCACTAGGTCGGAGACAAATGATGCAGCTGTGCGGATACTGAAGTCTTTGTTTCCTCCGCTCATATTAGAGCTTTACAAGCTTCTCATTGCTCCTTTAGCACAAGGCAAGATAGCTGCTTTGATGGTTGGTGAGTCCCTTTTTTTCAATTCTTCAGTTCAGGAAAGCTTGTACCTTTTTGCATCCAGCTAGCTAAAAGGTTTTTTTTTTGCCTACATTGAAGCAAGAGTGACTGTACTTACTTGCCAATGGCTCATGGGACCTTCCAAAATAAATACCATTGATCTTCCTAATGGAGAATCTTGGGAGAGTGGGGTAATGAAATGATGCTACTACAGTTTTCATCTGTTTATATTTGATTCGCTCTGTTTTTTAACAAAGAGAAGTTGGAATGCAAAGTAGGTTCTTGTGGAGAAATGTCAGTATTTAGAAGAGAGTAAATGTGTGGGAGTATGTATCAATACTTGTAAACTACCAACTCAGGTATTCTTCTGCTATCCAATTCAACCAGTTCTTACCGTTCTGAGTTAGTCTTAAACAAGACATGAATTTGGAATCTTTAATCAGTTCCTGTAACTGTGGATTTGGATTTTTGTTTTCAGACATTCTTTAAAGACTACATGGGAGTTCCTCTGTTGATGGAACCAGATTTCAAAGATTATAGTTGTCAGGTACTTCTTGCTTCCTCCTCTTATTAAAAATACATGCCTGAGTGACTCTAAACCTATTAGACATGTTATCTGACACTGGAAAAAGATTAGACCCCATTGATTGATCTAATCAAATATACATAACTTCATTATTAGTAATTGGTTATGAGATTGACTAACTATGCTTATGGATTAATCTATTTCAATTATACGTACCCATGTTAACCATTTTAGAGTCCACCAAACCTAAACCTATAGGTTCATGGATTAACTAACTGGCTTATGGTTGATTTCTCTTTGGGTTTTTTGTTTTCGTTTCTTGTGTGTGTATGTACCGTACCAATCACGACAGTTTAAATTTGGGGTAGCTCCACCGGAGGATGATGGCAACATTAATGAACCGTGTTTTGAGACATGCTCCATCGCCAGCCGCAGGAGATTAAATTCCGGGGAGTGTCCTATGGCCTAAACCTTCGTCTTTTCATGAAAAGTGATATGTAAATGTCCAACCATCTCGATTTGATTCCGGAGATGTACGAAATAAAAAAAAAATTAATTTCGAATTTTAGTTGTGCTAATCTATTTTTATAATTGACTCTAATACAAATCGCACAATAGTCTAGTTTTGTGTTATTGCCATGAAAACAAAAGAAAATAAGATTGCGTTTGAAGCATTTACCGGATCGTAATATAAAGTTTTAGAGAGCTGATTAGTTGAAAATCAGTTTATTGTCACCTAGTAATTGATGCCTACAAAGCTACAGTTCAACTTTTGTGTGTGTTAATTAGTTACCCTTATTATTTTAATTAACTTAAAGAGTTTTGTTCTAAAGCATATATCAAGATTCCCAATGTGAGGTTAGGGCTTTTTCAGATAATCACTTCTTTCTTTGATGACTGAGATTGCTTTGTTGATTTTCTTTCTTCTTTTGTGTTGTTTTTAAGAACAACAATAACTCTATAATAATCCTTATATTTAAATGAAGAGTTGAAATAATTATATAACAAGAACAAATTAACAGAATCGTAAAATCATTTTACACAATTATATAACTAATAAAATCTACATTAAAACTTTTAAAAGGATATAAAATAGAGAAAATGACTAGAATAACACAAAAAAAAAGTTTTTGTCACAAATATATCACTTGAGAATAAAAGTGATCAAAATAGCACTTAATATTTTATTAAATATACATTTTTATCCTTTTGGTTAACTAATCTTAATTTTTTTGTTTAGAGTTGAGGAGTGAGGTTTTGGGTATAGAGTTTCAAATTTTTAAAAATAGAAAAAACTTAAAATTTTCAAAATAAAAAGTGCTATTTGGTCATTTTAATTTTTAAGGTCTATTTTTGTGATAAAAACTTAAAAAATGATATTTGAGAGAATTGCTTATAAAATAAGGATTTTTATTATTCTGTCGTTTGTAATTTTTGTACGAATTATTTTAATCAGAAGAACATTTAACCACAACCCATGAAGTTTTCCGGTCTAATACCGATTTGATATCCCTTATATACTAAAGCAAGTCACTTGACCAATAATATTATGACAAATGGAAAATCAGAATAATTAACTAAATAAAATAATGGAAAATCCAGCAATTAGACAAATATAAAAATAAAAACTTTAACCAAAAAAAGAAAAATCTTACGATTTAAACTGCAAAAAAAAAAAAAATCCCTAAATTATCTCAGTTCACTACCACCACTACGTTCATTTTTTATATAATTTCAGTCAACTGATTCCCTTCTTTTCTCAGTGTCTTATTCATTGTTTCATCTGCTTCATCACTTTTCCAGAGAAATTTTGAATGCAGCAACATACAGAACATCAAATCATCGTCAACAACAGTTTTGAGATAATAATAATAATAAGTATATAAATAAGGTTATTTTATAAAGGACATTTAAAGATAGCTGGTAATACTTTCTCTTTCTTTGAAAAAAAAAGATTGAATATTTACTATTCTGTTTTTTTAATGGTTTATTCTTAGAAAGACAAAATGTCAGTGAATGTGAGCATTTTAATATTATTTTTTTTAGTTAACTGTGGTAAATTTTCAATGGTTTTTTTGTTTTTTCATTCAGATTTTTGGCTTGCTATATTTATTACAGGACAAAAAAAGATTAGGTTATTTTCTTACTACTAAGAAATGTGATGAAGACGATATATTGGTAACAAGATCAAGGTTTAATGTCCATAGATATTTAATCATAACTGTAAGTTGTTGTCACACAAAAAAAAAAACTGTAAGTTGTTACAATTTACAGTATATATGTTCCAATATCCATAATTTATGGCTTTATGCAAATTATCAATTTTTTGTGTTATATTGATTTTGTCATTTTTACATGTTAGTTTTGTTAATCAATTTGCTCCATACATTTTTCTTTTATATAGTGGTAGAATACATGTCAATTTTAAATGTGTTACAAAAAAACATGTGAACTTTAAAAATATATATTTTGTTTTTATTGGATTTTCAGATGAAGATAGTAGCACTTAAAAGAAAAATAATGTGCAGTTGTGTAACTAATCAGATTTTAAACCTATTTAAATGACTCTTTTAGTTACTTAATTTATGTAAATTATGTATAATTTGGTAACTTATATTTGTTTTGTTGTTAAAAATTATTATTTTTTTGTCAATATAATTCCAAAATAATCATTAACTATAATTGATTTATTATATGTAAATGTAATTTTTTTTCTAATAAAAAGTATTTGATTTTAATTTGCAATGTATATAAACAAAATTAACCATCCGCGCAACAGTGCGGGTAAATACTAGTAGTAACTAAATACTAATACCGGTCAACGCAGAAGTCGGTTTGGAAGTAAATAGACTGACAGTGACGCTCTTCTCCTTTTGCTACCGTTAATGTTCGTTCCATTTCCGTTAACAGGCGCATTATAGCAAGGACACATACGCTCAAGTGCGCCGCACGCTTCGCTTCTTTTGTCGCGCATTCAAAAACCGAAACGATCAGAAAAAAAGAATATTAAATTAAACATTCCGAGAAAATAACAAAAAATATTTATAACAACTTTAGAAAAAAAAAATAAAAGAGAGAGAGAGAGAGCGTATAGAGAGAGAAAGGGAGCTGCTTGCTACAGTACTAAAAGCGGAGTGAATCCGAAGAAATCTCCGCCAACGGAAAATTCTCTCCCGAGCTCAAAATCGTTGGCGACGATGGCGGATTATCCGGTT